TTTTGATAAACCTAGCTTTGGTTTTGAATTTTGCTGTTTTCAGAATCACCATCACTTTGACTGAAAGGGGAAAAATCACTTGTCTGCTAAGTATTTTCTCTTCTGAAATAAAACTCAGAGTCATAAACCATACGACTATGAAATTTTCATTTCATATGGAAAAGGTGATGATAACGAACAGTGATCGATCTAAAAAATATCTATAAACATTACAAATCTGTGAACAGGGCATAAAACATAGACTCCTGGAAGTTCCAGTAGTGGGGTCAGGTGCCTAGGAGGAGTAAGCATCCCCTGTTGACAGGTCACACCCACGGTGAGCCCTACGTATTGATAAGTAGAGGGAACCTTCCGAAGTCGAATTCACAAGTAGAACATGATCTTGCGTATCGAATCAAGTGGGAGACAAACCCTATATGCAGGTGATAATGGTTATTGCTTCATAATTAAGGAAGTTGATGATAAAAATGTTGAAGTCATCACGTTTATCTTTTGTTTTAAATGAACTTTTGAGAACGATCACTGTTCGTTAAATTCACATTTCATCTCCTGGTAAAGGGACACAGCTAACATCCACCGGAATTCCAACGGATTGTAAGAGGACCGGGTCTCCAAAGGCGGATAGATATTGTCAGTGTGAAACTTATGTATCTTTTTAATGTCAACCTCAGAGTACTTATGTATAGAATTCGAATGGTTTTTAACAAAGTAAGTTTGTAGACAACCAATAACAAGATAAGAAAATCTGCGAGTTCCGTTTTTATTGAAGAAGCGTCAAAAAGCCTAATTTTTAATTTATCGCAGGAATGGTTGTATAGAGTAATTTAAAGTCATACGTTTTGATCCTTATGATTTCGGCAAAATTTTATGATCTCAAATTTTCTTAAATTCTTGGTAGTTTTCTTAGTACCCACATTTGATTAAGAATTGATTAACACCACTTCTTTAATAATTATTTTCACAGTACTGCTGAAGTTTCTTCTCACTGCTCTTAATATTTTGAGGAATATAGAAGGAGCTTGGTGGAACATTTACTAAAGTGGGAAAAACTAAGCACACATATAGAAAAAACTAAACATTGTCATCAATAATTAACAATGAAATGCATTTATTTAATTTTTGGAATGAGTGGGCTAGATATGGACTTTAATTAGCTCAAATAGGTCTGGTTTCATCGTTTGATAATGGAATAAGAGAAAAATATGTTTTCATGCGAGCACAAATTAAAGTGTAACATAATTCTTAGCTATCTCATTTACTGTTATAAACATTTAAAGCGAATAAGTCGATTAGATTTCATTTTGACTTTTTTTAAAATCCAAAATTCTATTCATTAACGTAAACATTCAAACCTCAGACATTCAAGGGAGAGACGTCAGCTTTTTAATAACTTATAAAGTCTGAAAGCAAAGAATTCTTCTGACGGTATGTGTCAATAGATTGCTATTTAGGAAATCTAATGTTCTTTTGGGATAAATATCAGACTTTCCTGTATGTGCCAGTCACGGGAGGGAGCCATTTCATTGTTAAAAGCCTTTTTTCGTTTCTCGAGTGTATATGTTTGTGATAGCGATATGAATATAGTAGAAGCTTAATAAAAGTTCCATAAAACAAAATTGTCAGTAAATGTAAGCAATGCTGAACAACAGTTTGATATCCCATGTACTTCGAATTCTGATATCCTTCTTCTGATAAAGAGGCCCAATGTATCGTTATCCAGAACATTAATTAGTTCTTAATGATAAATCGTATATTAACAAGGAAATCACATTTGAAAAGAAACGATTTCTTAGAGACAAATTAATTATTAGTTATCAGTCAAAACTAATGGCGTGTAACAAAATACGGGGAATATGAATTGAACTAAATCATTTTACTCCAATTTTATACAATACTTTTGCTATCCCTTTGAGTCACTACAAAACTTAAATAACGCTCACATCTTAGAATTGTATAGTTCTTTCAGAGGTTGATTTTATCCTTTGCAAATTACTTATTATAATGGTTTTTGACGAACTTTTCACTATTTGTTGCATATTCTGTGGCAGCAAACGCCTACTGTACATTACCTCAAGAATCTTCTTTTTCAAAGAAGGAGTTTCTGTCTCATGAATAATACTTGTATTAACCTTTGTTATTTTCTTAGAAAATCACACATTTATCTCTAATCGTCAAATCAAATTAGAGAATATAATTATAATCACTCAATGCACCATGAAATTAATGTTTTGCAAACGGTGCACACTTATATACTTTTTAAGTTTTAAAGTAAGAATTTTACTTTAGAAGAAACCTTGCCTCCATAGTTTTCTTTCTATTTATTTATATGTCTTTTTTCCATATTATTGGGCCCGGTGCATTGTTCCTCATCTCAGTCGAGTTCTCGGTCTATCTCCCGGATGTCACCAAATATCCCAATTAGGGCGAAATAGGATAGATTCATTCGGGATAATTCGCAATTTCTGTCACAGTATTAAATAGACCACTATTTGTTTCTCTACTGCAACGTAATTTCGATTGATTTTTTCCCTTGCGGGTCAATAGAACGACTTGACTTGACAGTCTTATATCATTTGGACGCTTACAAGAAAACATATTTCCGTAAATCTCTAAATCCCTCGTTTCCGTAGGACCCCAATTATGCCTGGTTAGGGGATTTACTTTATACAATTTAATGGCTACAGTATTGGAAATTAATGATGTAGATACTTTTTACTGCGGATTCTATGAGAGTGAAACATTATTTGTTCTTAGCGAACAATCTTGATTGGAGTAATTTCTTCACAGAAACTGTCAAAATCAACATTTATCTTCGATTTTTATTACATGTAGTATCTTTTAACTGATGATATTATACTTTCATGTAAATAAGTTGATTTGATTCATCTAGAAACATGTGTTAAAACACACCGTTACCTTTTGAATGATAAAAGCACGCCCCATACACAGCGTGATACAACATAGAACCAGTCAACATTAATTGACATGTGTTATCAAAAAAAAAACAAAAAAAAAAAAAAAAAAAAAAACTGCGGAATCTATGCGCACGGTTCACTGTTACGTGTTTTGGTATTTGTAAAAAAAACCATTCGGTATATATAATAAATACTCGCCTGCACCTCTGACGATGTTTTTCCCGAGTTGAAAGTTTTCAATGTTACCCTCAACTACATGCAGCATCTATTTAGTATACTTTCCTGTAAATTATTTGAATGCGAGATTCGTCGAGAAACATTTGTTTAAAAAAATACTATTACCCTCTGAATGATGAAACCACGTCCTCCAGCAACGGTCAACATTGCTTGACGACGAGTGATATTCAAAGAAAAAAATGCTGACTGCGCATAAATTAGTGCGCTCAAGGTTCACTGTTATATATATTAGTATAGAACAATGAATATTTTATGTAGTTAAAGATAGTTTTATATTGTCCTTCCTGGTATACTTTATTCTAACAAATAAAATAAAAAACATGACTATATAAAAACTGCATGTGGTTGAGAGTTACATTGAAAATTTTCACCTCAAGAAAACCATTGTCTACAGAGGCGCAGCCTCGAATGATGAAATTTTTCATCACGTTTCTCTCAACTACTTGCAGTATTTATTATATAATACTCAATGCTTTAAAAAAAATACAAACAAAGGTTAAGCACGCGCATAGATTCCGCGCAGTCAACATTTTTTTGGAATATCACCCGTCGACAAGCAATGTTGACTGTTGTTCAGGTTTTTAAAATAGGCCTTATAAGATGATGGGCATTTATTGACAAAAGGCTTGTGACACAAAACGTTGTTCTAAATCAGATGAAAGTAAGTAGTAATTGAAATTTAAAAAGTGCAATATTTTAAATATTTTCAAGATTTATTATAAAAATATAACATTGTAAAGCCCTGACTTACTTTTATACAATGATGATTATACGATGATACTGAGCACAATAATGTCACACTGGGGTACATGAACTTAAACATGCTCACATTTAAAGTACAATATGATAAGACAATAAAAAAATTGAGTAATCACTTTTTTATATACAAATAGTGCTGCTGATAGATAATAATGACTGAGATTAATACCTGTCTTTTAGCACCTGAGTTTCGGCAGCAGTCAGTTTTTGGAAGTAAACAGCTTTCTATCACCTGTGTCACTTCATATATTTTTCGTTTTCATCATGCACGTTACTTCTCAATCAGTTCTATTTTTCTATGAGTATTTTCAATAGTCCACCATTTGTTAAACAATAGTGAAAATTATTGAACTACACAAGAACAAAATTATCCAAGACTCTGTACGATGGGTAGAGACGCCATGACTGTTCGACCTTCTGACAGAGGAAATAAATGTCTTGAAATTCGTTCCTGAAATATGACAAGAGTGCATCTGCTAGAGGCAAACTTATATCCAACTGATTTATCAACATTTATATTTATATAAAAGTATCTTAATTTAATTTTTCGAATAAAACGTTGTCTTAATTTTTTTTCTTGGTGTGTGTGAAAAAATTTAATTTTTTTTTTTTTTTTTTTTTTTTTTTTTTACATTTTACACATCTAAAAATTCTAATTAAATATACAAACCTCTCTTTACATTTGTTTTGTCATCTGAAAAATATAAACGCCTTTAATAATTGTAGATATTTGAAAACATTTATTTTGATCACTGATCATTACACGTATACTTTTTGACTTTTCCAGTATTAAACTTAACCTTAACTATTTCCTTTACAATAACATAAAATTATCTTAGATACTTATTTATGATAAGCTTGCAGGGAATCATTTATTTCTTAGCAATAATGTTAGGAATAGTAATACATTTCCTTCCGAACATAACAATACAAATGAACGAAATTATATCTATTATCTATTATTATCTATGTAAAACACTATATATGCTAGTCGTACCACTGAGAACATTAACTTTTATGTTGGTCACCAGTTTATCGGACGTCCGACAAATATACGTTCCTCCATGATTCATGTGCGCATGCTCAATAACAAGTTTGCTCCAAATGGTTCTTCTTTTGAGTGACACTGAATTAGTTATCTTTATTCCTTCTTCTGGGTCAGTAAGTATTTTAAGACCGTTCATGAACCAGTCTAGCTCATCCGGAGGATACGAGTCACTCGAGGCATTGCAAAAGAGAACCAGTTTCTCGTTTTTATTAACATAGGTATCACCTGTGATATGAATTGCTGAAATAAAGTTAAATTTCCATGTCAGTCAGAAAAACATAACACATTAATATTGTTTTGGCAGCATTGAAACAAGTCAATAGTTTGAAATGATCAACTCCCATTTTGATTGTTCCCCTTGCATACTTTAAAATATACATGTACAGTGTACTTGTTCTACTGCAGGATGAAATAAGCTATGATACAGATGTAGGTTAATCATTTTTAGTACAATTTTCAGAAAGTAAAATACATTTGATACTTTTGTTGTTTGTATGTGTGTGTGATTAAATAAATGAACATATATGTTGCTGCATTTTTTATATATAGCTATCGCACTTATTTCTGAGGGAGAAAAAATCCCTGTTATCAAATTACTATCAATGTAAAGTACTTACATGATGTCTGCTCTGAAATTGAAAGAGAAAAGTAAAGTCATTAAATTTTCAGTAGTTTAAAGTTTTCTTTTCCTTGAAAAGAAGAAGATTGTAGTTAAAAGGTTAGAAAATATTGGAACATTGATATTAAAATACCAACCCCTAACTGACAGAAAAAACGCCCTCCTAATATCACGTGTCCTTGTGCTGACTTGACACTCATACCCTCCAGAATCCCTCATACTAACATTCCTAATGTGTAAGTTCCATTGGCTCTTGTGTATCACGTGATGTGTTTGAAATCTTGGGTCGCCATAGTACGTAAAAAGACCTACGGTCAGAGGCACGGACGGGGAGGCTTTCCTCCAGGTCACCTAAAAAAGTAAAAAGAAGAAAAAAAGCTTATATATAATTTCTACATCAGTATCTGAATGTCATAGCAATTGAATTAAAATTGTACATACAATCAAAAGCCTGTGTTTTGTGTATGTTCTATCTTAAAATTTTCAAAATATGACCTAAAATATTTATCAATAGCATGCTATCAACATTTTCTTTATTACATATACATATTTCACTAAACGCAATAATAACTGCAATAAGCCTTTTTCACGTGTTTCAATAACTTAAAGCAAGCACCTAATGTTTTAAACAACATGCCAAACTCTAGCTCTTAGGTTGTTTTAAATAAAATTTTAGACTACTTGGTTTGCAGTTTCACTTCAACTAAAGAGACCTGATATATTATTTTTTTCTTTCGTAATATATAATATACAGTGTAATGTACTTCAATACCATGTACACTTTTTTGTTCCTAACTTTTCTAATGTATCTCTCTTGTTAGCTTCCATATAATCTTTGCAATACTGAAGTAGTTTGAAAGCCTGTCTGCAGATGTGCAATCAAAATACAAGATCTTGATAAAGACTTACAGTTTTGGTTCCCAGGTTTGTAACAGCGCAATACAAAACAGCAGTTTCACCGGCTACGGCCGTGTAGTTAGTGATGGTATTGTTCAAAATGGCCGGTTCTAAGGGGACAAAGTGGTTAGAAAAGGGGATTCGTCGACGAGAGCCTGAAAACAGACAGAAATCAGTATTAATAATGTAGCATATCTAACGACTCATAGCAATAACATTGTCCTTCAACTGAACTACAGTTAATGTACACGAAATAGAGTGATTGTTTTAGTCCAATTCTGCTTAAGCTAGCAAATCAAACATGTATATCGATACGATAATATCTGCAGTTTATAGTTTTTCTGGAATCTATACAACTTTTTCTGCAGTTTATTGTTTTTCTGGACCCTATATAACCTTTTCAAACCTTATTGAGAGAACAATTCTATAACATACTGGTTTCTAAGATTAACTGTTGGATGGATGTGAAACCACGCCAGTATACATGTATAATTCATCTTTACTAAGTCAAGTCAAAAAAATTTTCTTGCATAAACATCAAAGAACAGTTAAACGTGTGATTTTTGATGAACACATTCACATAGGTCACAAAAGGATGATATATCAGAAATTGTTTTCCTTCGGTTTTCCTCTAGGATTTCAGTATTACTTTAAAAGTACGATTTTTAGATAAATGAAGGTAATCTAATGCCCAATATTTTCTTTTTTTCTGTGTATAAACACACACATACACACCCACCCTCACACACACATGCACCACTTATATTGATTTTTGCCACATTACATGCGAACTCTTGTCATTTTAATCTTATATATGAGATTCTCAAGAGGATATTTTATTTAAAAAAAAAAGAAAAATAGTCAATTCTACGAACTATCGAGGGACTTAGAATCAATTGACATTATACGGAAATTTGCCAGAAAACCTTTTTTATTTGCTAACAATAAAATAGCATTGCGAATGGGTTTTTTCAGTGTAAATTTATGAATAAACAATGAAAACGTAGCAAATTGCATCTGTAAACAAACATTTCACTTGTTCAGATATACTTTCAAGTGTCAGGTAATTGCTCATAATAAACAATTCAATAATTAAACATTGTATACGTGTGATTGGAAGGAGAATGTCGGGTATATTGTACGGACTTTAAAAATCGGTCTCCCTTTTTTTAAATAATTAATTAATGATTACAGATGCCACTAAAATTTGAAGTTGACAGTGTTACTGAAACAAACCACCCTATTTCCTAAAATTCAATAAAATATCGAGTATAATCAGAATTAGATCTTATTAATCCCAATTTCGTGGAATAAAAAAATGTGACTCCATTTGTAACTCTTCTCAGAAATAAAGATTTTACGAATGACACCAAAAAAAACAATAGAGAACAGAGTAATATTATCGTAGGCAATCAGGATTTACAGGCTAAAGAGCATTAATGGAGGGTAATTTCTCGGCGGACAACGAAGATCAAAATAGATCAAAAGTATCCAATACAACGCAAAACACCAAAATTAGATTAGAAGTCACTGAGCTAATACTCAAGGGGACTCCCATCCATCTGTCGGAGGAATGTGGATTATGCAAATCGACAATTACATACAGCATACTCTCAGTTCACAGAATAGTACAATGTCTGTGTGATCTGGAAGGGGTTGGTTCTCAGAGACACTCCAAAAACACCCTTTACGTCATAATAATAAATAGCACAGAATTTTTGTCCAACTTCTTGATGATAAGTTAATCATGTTAATAAGCGTAACGTATCTAAACAATAAAGCTCACCCTATGTTCCTAATGACATCACTAATTTTCTCTTAATTTGCTGAGGAAGCAAGAAAGACAAGTATTTCTCAAGTGTTAATATTCTACACATGGGAGAGTCAAAGTACAATTATCCTTGAACCTTTTATTTATTTTTATTTTCTGAAAACTGTTGGAAGAAATTGTTTTGTTAATCTTCATGATTTGGTTGCACCTTTTCGTCATTACAACTTTTTATTTAAAAGTTTATTCTTTAAACCAATAGGTTTCTCATATTTAGATAACATTGTACAACATATATATACACAAATAAGTTTTGCAAAGGATACAAGTTAACAATAATATGTAGTCAATTCAATCATTGTAGCTCTTTTTCGTAGCAAAATGCCTTTAGCTAAACACTTCCCCTAGGGACATAATTCTTTCACACTTTCTGGACCAAGTAAGTTGTTAAATTTGAACATGCTTGGTCTATGATGGTATTTTAAAAGTACGTTTTCTTATATCACTCTGACAAGCCAGTCCCCTGCTATTCACTTCGTAAGTCAGACGAATGAAGTGATAAGTAGGGAGTTGGCTTTAATCAGACTTTTCATATACCAGAGGACCGCCTAGTGGAAGGGCGTTCGCTTCGTGATCGGGAGGCCCGGGTTCGATTCTCGTTTGTCGCACCACGTCAAACCTAAGACGTAAACATATGTGGTGACTGTACGTAAACAGATGTGGTGACTGTTCCTTCGTCAAGCGCCCGGCACTAGAAGCGAAAGTCGGGTTTATTTCGGATGAGATCTTAAAAACCGAAGTCCCGTGTCACGCTAGGGGTTGGCACGAAAAAGAACCCTCACTGCTCAATGACCCTGAGTGTCGAATACAGGTCTAAAAGGTTTGAAACCCTTCGCCGGTATATGGTGACGTCTCTGTATGAGTGAAAAATTCTCGTATGAGACGTTAAACAACTCACAATCAATCAATCAATCAACATTATACCAGTTCAAAGTAAAACAAAATGCCCTCATGAGCGAATAGCATACACACTCTCTCCCATCTTTATATACCATTCCTGTTACGATCAATTCCAATATTTAACCTATGATTGGAAAATTATGTTTGCAGTACAAACGATATCCATCTACAACATATTGAATAGGCCATCCATTCGAAGACAGTGATACCATAGAAAAAATAATTTACACGTATGCTTAGTATATCCTTAGTCACGTGATCTCGTATATCTTTGTTCACCAATTGTCCCATAAGTAACACAATCCCAGCTATGACAAGTCTTCCTTCATATACATGATCAAAAATTATACCTCAATATATGTATACGGTCTCAGATATATGTATAGAGCATACCAATTTTACCGATCATGTCTTTGAATAGAGGCAGTTATAAAAAAAACAAGGTAATGTGTAACTATATGGTAAATAATGCCTATAAGGCTAGAAATTTTCCCTATGTATCCAGAGAGACAAATCTACCAGCCATCATACTCTGTAATTAAAAGCATCCTTAAAAAATATGTTGCAATTAACTCTAACACAGGCGACTCTACGACTTAAAAATCAATTGAATGGTGTATCCTTAAAGTCACCTTCAATATGTATAATTAAAAATAGCAACCATGAATATATATAGTCAGAAAATGAGACTCATTCTTTAATCACCTGTAGGCTTCAATGATCTCAATATTAGTTTTTGTTCCACCATCTATCATGATGTGCATCAATCACCTCAATAACCCTCTAAATTTATGACATTAGCTAGGATCGTTATAACAGGCAGATTAAAGCTTCGTCTGACATATTCCTTTGAAGACTGGCTTAGTATAATACACAAACTTACGGGGAATACAAATGACCCATGGCCAAAACAGAGGTAACAATACCTTAGGGGCCAGAATTGTCTCCAATGAATATTTAAAGGGAGCTTACATGAAAATGCTCTTAGGATGCTTAGGTCAAATCTCAAAATCTACAGTTCAAGAAGTCATAAGCATCATCCTAACAATAGTGTACAGTTGTTAATGGTGTTTGAGTACTCGACATTTTCTTAATTATGCTTATATTGTTCCCCATGAGCAAAAACACAAGTGAGTACTTTTTCAAACTCATTTCAAGTGACTGTTTTATTTCTGGTCTATTTTCACTAATTCACTTTTTGGTATATCTATCTCCCGAATTTAGGAGGTGCATTTTCTGGAAAACATTTGATTTCAAATAACATTGAACCACCTAAAATGTAGAATCAAGGGATAGAAATTGCTGTTGGAAATGAGCTGTTGGTTTGGAGACTCATTTTAGTAGAAATGTCCTGTAGAGAAATTATGAATTTGGTATAAAAGTTTTGAATGTTAACTATATTCTCTACCCGGTTAGTCATCGGATGACGAATCTTCTTTGTTCATAACATGACACCACATGGACAATCAATAAGGCCGAGTGTCACTCGCACATTTTTAATTATAAAGATGAATCATTATCTGATTGATAAAGAAGCCTGAAAAGTTCTGTGAGATTTTGATTTCGCTCTAAATCTGTGCACATTTTAAGTGATTATTATGAATGAAAGGCAATTTTGTTGATTAAAGTCGTTTTTATATATATATATATATAAATGCGAATGCTTAAAACCTTTCTTTAATTGTATATTACTTTTAAATATTAACATCCAAGAGTTGATTTATCATACATGTATGTGTTCAAAATCGTGAATAACCCAAGCTACTGAACTACTTACTTACTGGATTAAATATTTCTTTAAAGGATACTACATCTACAAGAATGTGTGCTATCAAATAGGAAAAGCATGAACTTTTTATGTACATTGTCACCATGTTAAGGAAACTCTTATTTACTGGTCTTTTAGTCAAAGAGGCCCGCACTTAGTATTTAGCTATGCTCATTTGCTCTCCTTAAATCATTATATTGAAATCTTCTACGGCTGCAGACACCCCTAACCTTGTCAAAAAGGTGACAACACACCATCAACATAGGAACTTAATCCATTGTAGATATAAATCATTAGCGATTAAAAAGCCTTTTAAAGTGTCAGCTGAATGGCTCTAAATTGTCAACGTTTAGGCTTTTAAACAGTTTAAACACATCAAAACCAGAAGCCCCAAAAGAAATGGACAACTTGAGAGTTTATTTGCAAGTGAATGGGATCAAAATAGACTTAGGACGCTAATTGATTTCTTTAGAAATTTCTGTTTTATCTGCCTTCGGTCAAAATTGTTTTCTATTTTTCTAATAGCCTGGATGATGCCTTTATAGCATACTAGTATACGTTCGAGGAAATGCACACAGAGACTAGTTTTGTAAATAAAAGTTTGATGTTATACAGGGTAGGTATGAAAGCAGACATGAAAACAAACTAAACATTAATTGACTGCATGTCGACCCATAGATTCTCCTAATAGAAAACAAAAGATCCCATATCTGACAACTGCTTTAGATCTACGTTAATTTTGTCTGCAAAAACTATTTTGTACAAGAAGTATCGAAAAACTTTTCCCTTTTTCTATCACAATTAATGCTATATAGAAATAAAATGAAAACCAATTATATGAATTTTGGAAAAACGTTATACATTGCTAATTTGATCTCACAAAATCATTGCTTTGTTTTCTGTTTCATGTTCATAGAAATAAGCCTTATGGACGATTACAGTAGAGTAACAAAACACAAAAACAACAACCCACCTGCTACTTGACAGAAGATCAGAGACAGAACAAATGGCCAGGCATAATGTGTCCAGCTCTCCTGAAACAGTTTGAATCCTTTCAACCGAAAAATCCCAAATATTTCATTAGCGTCCATCTTTGTAGTTGTTTTTCTTAATTAGTTCTAAGTAGATGATCTTAAGAACCTCATGATGAAAGGATGGTGCTTATGTTTTTTAGAAAAAAAATTCTTCCTCAATTTGTTACACGTTTTCTGACAATAAAGGTGTTACCCTAGCTCCTTTGGTCTTCACCTTACAGTTTCTGTATTCAGCTGTGTGGTCAGGTATAACAACACTCCGTAATTCCTCTTAATTAGCTATTATGGACGAGCCCGTGTCTGTGGTGCTAATGAACTTCCACTTTATTGGAGGCTCCATATATTCCTCTGATGAGCTTCTTAGTCATTCAAGACACTAAATCGGAAGATTCTGAGGTCACCGTCAAGCAAGTTTCAATTCACTGTCCCACCGTTAATGAATCCGGCTTTGGAAATGAATTGCGCTCTTATGTTTACTTTGTTATAGTCTGGCTTCCCGATCCAGTGTCACCAAACTAAAAGAATGAAATTTAATTATTTAAACAAAACTGCTAAAAATCTCTAAAAATGGTAATGAATATACAGACTTTACCATGGGGGAAAATTGACAAACATAATAAAATTTTTAATAGTTACAGAACGAACAGTTTACTGCTAGGGACTATTCCAAGCAACTTCCTTTCCACAAAAACATTGCCGACACTTTTAAAAGTTTCCTGTACTTTGAGTAAAAACAACAGTAATGCACAGACAAATATAGAGACGACAATTTAATCAGTGGTCTCCGTGACAAAGAATATTTACCGTGGCAGCCTCTCCTTGTTTTCCAGTCACCGCTATAGACCGAGGAGTATGGTTTTGTATCGGACCTCTGATTCTACATCCCTCCTCTATGATCCTGCAGCTGAAGCTGGAACGCGCGCGACTCTAATTATAGACCGATATTTATAATTCTATACAACAATTGCTGGTATATATGCCTTATTTTTACACAACTCGTTATTAATATCGCCTTTCAGTATAAACAAAATTCTACATCGTATGACAAAAGCTTATAAGAAGGCAAACAGTTCAAAATAAGAGGAAGATTTTATCTTAAGATTTAACAGATATAACTTTTATGGCTTCGGTTTGTTATTTTCGTCTTGAATATTTTATCGAGGATTTACAATATACCAATAAAATATACGAATGTTCCGAGCTCTGTTTGATTGTGTTGATTCAAAATATTGGCTTTGTAGAGAAAACGTGTTTGTTTTTCGAAGGTGTTTGCTGAAAGGTATGTAAAACGCTAGATTCAATAATGTCATTCTATCTTAAGTTCTGTCAACAAAAAGAACTGAAAAGCAGTTGTAAATTTTGGTATTGAAATAAATTGTGCTTTAATTCCGCAAACTGGTTACTTTCTCTGTGCATTGTCATTGTCAATATCCAAGTCACTTGAAATATTCAAGTGCTTCAACATAAAAAAGCATAAGGTGCATCCATTCATCTCAGTGAAACCTGTAGATATAATCCCGCTCTTGAGAAACTTCAAATGAATAACAGTGATTATAATAAAAAAGTATTACATTTATTGTCGTTAATTCTTTAGCTATGCTGGACCAAAGCAATCTCGGTTAATCCGACCGAGTTTTTAATACAGCATTTTAGAAAATATAAGAATTTATTTTAAAAAATCAAATTAGCAAATATACAGCTAGAATTTTTTTTTAAACTGTATAGTTAATAAGCATTCTTTACTATTAGATAGGAAAAAGGGCGTAAACAATGCTAAATCTATTATCGATTTTTCTAACAAGAATTTGCCAATTAAGAAATAAAGCAGTAATTCTCGTTGTGTTCATTTTCCCGATTTCCATCAAACAATACCACAAAAGCCTTTAAAATTTGTCAGGATTTCACCATCTGCCGTGTCACTGCGTCACTGCGACAAGAAACAACTTAAAATTTTCAATGCGCTGAAGTTCAGAACACAGCAGGATATATTCTTGTTGTTGACATACTTTTTTCTGATACTTAAAATTAACATTCAAGTATGTGATTACAAAGTAAAGTTTTCTTTAATAAAACTGACCAGTTAAAATGTGTAAAGAAAATACAACAACAACTGGACAGACATCTCAGGCATAAATGGATATCTATTGATGTTTCTTTTAGACTTATCATTATATTTTTAACATTTTTTAATATCGATAAAAGATTTGTCAAAATATTGTCAACATGTTTAACACATCGATATTGATAGTTCTATATACATGTATAATATACAGCTAAGTCAGAAGTTCGACAATCAATGGCATCAAAACTTCCCCCCGATTTATACATCCATTTCTCAAGGTAAAATAAAGACTATAGGCTTTTTGACATCGAAGACAATTGCTTTATTTAAAAATAAAAATGGAACTCGAAAACTTTCATATCTTGTGCTTGGTCATTTACAAAGTTTGTTAAAAATCATTCTAATTTTACATTCTAAGTACTCTGCATTTGAAGTCATAAAGATGCTGGAATTCCTCATTGACAATATCTATGAAGTCTTCAAATGGAGACATTTTTTTCAAAAAACTTTTCGGAAGTAAAATTTATTTAAAAACTTTCTGTGACCTTTAATTCGACATTTAGATATATCAAAGACCTTTTATCAATTAGCAATATTAACGTCGAACTGAGATGTCGATAAAATGACCTTATCAGCAAACACAATCTATCATTAGGTCAAATGCTGACTGATATTTTTCATACTATATGCATGGCCGTAGGAATCGGGTTGGGGGGGGGGGGCGTGCCCCCAATAATTTTGACGATATATAGAATACTATAGAAAACAGATATTTTAAGCTTATGTCCCCTCAATGATAACATCTGATGACCTTTTCATTTTCATTTTTTTTGTGCTTATCAAGGAAATTTTGAATTTTTGGTAGTCCCCCCGCCCCCTCCTCCCCCCCCCCCCCCCCCCAGCTTCAATTGCTTCCTACGGACCTGACATGTAACTGTTAGGCCATTCTTTCATTCTTTACACACTGAAATTTCTACGGATTTTCCCATTTACTCGATTATGACAAGGAACAAATAGCGGTGTGACCGGTCGACAGAGGATGCTTACTCCTCCATGGCACCTGATCCCTCCTCTGATGTTGTTGGAGGTTCGTGTTTTATCTACTCCAGATATGCATTGTTTAAATGGACTATGAGCTTGAATACTGTTTGTCGTCTCCAGATTTCATCCAAATGAACTCAGAATAGTGGAAACCACAAGGTCCGTCACATCTGTTTCATATCTGAATGTTTTACTGACTATAGACATCAACGGCCAACTAACAACTTAACTTAATGACAAACTTGATGATCAACTTTTTCAACATCAATTCCACAGTTTATTAAGTGTATTCCAATATCATCTGCATATGGTGTTTTTTGTTTCCGAACCGATTCGGTACGCAAGACCATGTTCCGAAAATGATCGTTGTTAAACCAAGGCAGGCTACTGACAAATAGGTTGATGTTACAGGGCCTTCGACTAACTCGTTGAAAGTCAGCATTTCGCAAATTAAATGGTAGTTATAATGACTTATTTGACGTTTCATATCAATTGCTAGACCATTGTTTTTACACTGACTTATACTAAGGATTACACCTCACCTGATCAATACAGTGTGACCGGTTGGCAGGAGATGTTAACTCCTCCTAGGCACCTGATCCCACCTCTAGTGTTACCAAGGGTTCGTGTTTTGGCCCTGTTCATGATTCGTATTGTTTAAAAGATTTATGGGACCGATCATTGTTTGTTACCGTCACCTTTTGATACCGAATGATTATCAAATTATTTGGTCCTCGTAGAAGAATGCACTGTTGTGATCGACATTAGAAAAACATCCACAAACTTGTACATATATTTGCAGCACAAATACTGTACAAAATACATGTATATCATTGTATAATGTTAAATGTGAAGATAACGAATAGTGGTCAATCTCATAAATCCAGTAAACAAAACGAATCGTGAACAGGACAAAAACACGGACCCCTGGAAACACCCGAGGTAGGATCAGGTGTCTCGGAAGAGTAAGCATCCCCATTTGACCGGTAACACCAATCCTACAATTGGTCAGGTATACGGAGTCAAGGCCGTAACTAGGCTCAAATTTTTTGTGAGGCAATGGATCTAGGGGCCACCCGAGTCCCAAGCGGGTCCAGGGTAGTGTCCTGATGGGGGTTCTCGGGGGTGTTCCCGAAACCTGGATTTTATTAAATTAAGACTTAACCTTTCAACCTTTTGAATTATTTTTTAGTCCCCTACCGGTGAAACCGGAGGGGACTATAGGTTTCCTCTGAGTCTGTCCGTCCCTATGTCTGTCTGTCTGTCCCTCTGTCTGTCTGTCAGTCTGTCCCACTTGGTTTTCCGCACTTTTCTTCTAAACGCTTGCAGATATTGAGCTGATTTTTGGTGTGTAAGTGTATCTTGATGAGTTACAGATCAAGTTTGCATTTTGTTCTGCTTCAATGATTTTTGACGGAATTACAACCTTTTCAATTTTTCAGGGTTTTCCGCAATTTTTTTCTAAACGCTTGCAGATATTGAACTGACTTTTGGTATGTGAGTGTATTTTGATGAGTTATAGATCAAGTTTGCATTTTGTTCCGCTTCATTGATTTTTGACTGAATTATGGCATTTTCAATTTTTAACGGGAACCAGATTACACTTGCCGGTAGGTGACTAGTATTGCTAATGCAATACTCTCAGAATGCTTGTTTATATTATTTTTTTTACATGCGTTCTAAACGATAATGAAGCACCTGGCGAGATGATCAATTTTCAAAAATTGAAACAAAAGTTGAAAGTGTTAATATTAGGCCTAATTTAGTAAAAAGACACACATATTTAATTAATTAATTAAAGTTCAAAGTTTTTTTTTCACTTTTCAGAAAACTATAAAATTTTAATGAGGCATTTGCCTCACTTGCCTCAATGATAGTTACGGCCTTGGGAGTAAGTATAAAAGCAAAGACCTAACAAAATAACGACCGTACAAGTACAATAAAGCTGACTTTAAACGGGGTTGTTGAAATCCTTGTAACATCAATTTATTTGTCAGCTTGCCTCGGTACAAAACTTGATCGTACTCGGAGCATGCTCTATCGAATCAGTAAAGAGATATAAACACCATATGCAGGTGATGCTAAAATATTACTTTATAAGTTAGGGAAATTGATGATGAAAAGCTGAAGTCAATAAGACATCTAAATATGAAACAGATGTGGCAGACTATTAGTGTCTTTAATTTCGAGTTCACTGGGATATATCGAATCGACATGTACATGAAAGCAAGTATTGTAAATTGATAAAACGTCGTCGATATATCTAAATGTCGAGTTGAAGGCCACAGCAAGAGTTTTCTTCTTCACATGAAGAAGTTTCTGAATAAATTCTGCTTCATAGGAATATAAAAACAGGTTTGCTTATAAAGGGACACAATTAGTGCCCAGCGGA